GTTGTATGTGGTTCTATTATAAAGAAAAATATTACTCATGAAAATCCACTTATACAAGAAGTTTCTTGAGGATATCCAAGCCATCTGTAACATGACCAAGTTCAAAGTTCATCAAAAAAATACTCAGTAGATGAGAGGGACATTTCTGTCCAGCTACAAGTGGTCCACATTTTAAATGATTGTTTGTTTGTTTGTAATTAAGCACAAAGCTACACAATGGGCTATCTGTGCTCTGCCCACCACTAGTATCGAAACCCGGATTATAGCGCTGTAAGTCAGCACACATACCGCTGTGCCACTGGGAGGCATTTTAAATTAGGGGGATTTTTAATCTGCAGGGAGGAACATTCACAATTTTCACTGATGATTCCTTTACATTTGTGAACTTTCCAGAGGATGTAAAAATACCTCATACTGGGATTCCTTAAAAAGGATATAACATAACATAATGTTTTAGGGCAACATAGGACCTATTGGTCCATCTCAGCTGTTCCATCCTCTAAACTAAATTAAAAAATAAAATAAAAAATTTTAAAGCCAGCCCTTTTCATTCATATACTTATCAAGCTTTTTCTTAAACTCACTTAAATTTACTGCCCCTACATCTGAAGGCAACCCATTCCAGAGGCCAACCAACCTGTTAGAAAAATAAAACTGTCTTAGCTGAAGATGACTCCTACCTTACCAAAATTTATATTTGTGTCCTCTAGTCCTACTATTCTCCCTGTTAAATATGAAAAATGATGATACATCAACACTATCAATTCCCTTTAATATTTTAAACACCTCAATCAGAAACCCCCTAACTCTTCTTTTTTCAAGAGAAAACAATTTGAGAGATTTCAGCCTCTCGTCATATGACAACCTTTCCATCTCAGGCACCATTCTAGTAATCCTTCTTTGAACCCTTTCCAACAATTCAATGTCTTTCCTAAGGTAAGGAGCCCAAGACTAAACACAATATTCCAAATGTGGCCTCACCAGTGACCTATATAACCTCTTTAGGCTTGTATTCAATATTTCTATAGATGCAACCTAAAATCCTATTTTCCCTACCACTAGCAACAATCATTAAGTGAGAAGTTTCCATGAAATATGTGCAATGAACGTGTTCATGTTAGTAGTAATATTTCAAACAAATAGTGAGAAGTGTCCATGAAAACTAAACAGTGAAAGGGTTATTAGTTATGTTTTAACCAAAAAGTAAGAAGTGACATTAATTCTCAACAGTGAAAGTGCCTAATGTTAGTGGTTATATTTCATTCCTAAAGTGAGGTGTGTCCAGGAAAACTAAACAGCGAAAGTGTCTAGGGTTATTAGCTATATTTTAACCAATAAGTGAGAAGTGTATAAATTATCAACAATGAAAGTGCCTAGGGTTGGTAGTCCTATTTCAATCAAAAAAGTGTGAAGTGGTCATGAAATATTAACAATGAAAGTGTTCAGACTAGTATTTATATTTCAACCCAAAAGTGAGAAGTGACCATGAAGTTGCACCATTAAAAATTTCCGGGTTAATTATTAAGTTTCAATCAAAATAATGGTTAGTGTTTATGATAAGTCAACACGCAGATTTTCCAGAGATGTGGCAATTCAACCATAAATGACAGGTGTTATTTTCAAGCTTTCAAATTTGAAAGGTACTTAGTGTATTTATGATAACATTTAATCTTAAAATGCTTCAAGTGAACATGTCACCTCAACCATAAAAGTGCCTAGAGTTTGCGTATTTCAATAACAAAAAAAGGAGCCGGAGTTTATAACATTTACAAAGATTAGTAAAAATTGTTAATATAAAAAAGGGGGAATATGGATCATCAAAAAAAAGCCTACAACTAGGGATTCTAAAAAAAGTTTAACAAACAAGGCTGGAAGTAGTGTCTACGTTATTATCTCAAGCTACAAATCCCTATATTGACTCCATGTCTCCAGTGAAACACCGGATTTTTTGATAGAGGAAAGTGTAGGACTTAGAAAATTTCACAATGCAACGAAATTAAGGAGGTCGAATTAAGTTTAAAACTATTCTCTTGAGTTTTTTGTAAAATTCCTGTGCAATCCCACACTACAGTAGATATCACCTGCAATAATTTTATAGTGAAATCATAATAGGAATTTGTAGCTTGAGCAAACTGTCAGCAATATATCTCCATCCTTGTTTGCTTACTTCTGTGATCCTTATTTGTAGATTTTAAATTCTCAATTTTTAATTATATTGTATGTTGGCTTTGTTAATACACAGAAATGGGCAAATATATACCTAGAATAAGACCCAACTCCCACTAAGTGCATATAACGTTTTACTAGTAGAAAAGCAGCCTCTTCAAATAAAACAAATACTAATAAAACATCACTTAAAATAAACCTTCGTGTCTTTTAAAGTAATTATTTACTGAGCCAGGTAGTTTTGTGCCTGAGGTTTCGTGTAAACACGCGTTAATATGCGTCGAGTACAAATGAAGCCTCTTATAACAATATCGCACCTATTATGTGTTTATAACCACGTAAATCAACTTTCAGTGAAAAATAATCAACTTTAAATAGGTCATCGACATTCGCAGCGTTTAATGTAGTATATCTGTCTACGTTTTGGTGCAAAATACTCAGCCAATTTTGCTATAGGCTTGTGAAACAATATTGATAATAATAATATGAACAAGTGGACAAACTTTGGTTTTGTTTAACATCGTGAAATCACTTATTTTGCTTATTATCAATGATTGGGTGGTCTTAACCATTGAAAAAGAAGTTTTTCAGTATTGTTTCAAGAATAAGTTTGCTTTTTAAGGTGGTTTTTGCCCAAATATTCAATTAGAGTTTTGAGCAAATTTCAATGCGATACCTATTATGAACCGCTGTCGTGGTTCATGATACAATGAACAAAGTGTGTAGCGTTCATGGATTACTTTGAGTCATGACAAAAGTTTACTTAAAAGTATAAAATCAACGTCATTTGACACGTTCTTTTCAATTTTATTTTCAAATAACATACAACGTTTTGTTGTTTTCTTATTGCAAAGCTAAACAATGGGCTATCTGCACTCTGTTCACTGCGGGGAATCGAACTTCAGATTTCAGCATTGTAAGACTGTAAACTTAACGCTAACCCAATGGGAGGCACAACGTTCTGATTCTTTAAAACTTAGTTCTGATGTAATTTAAAACCTCATTCTTTCCAGTTATATTTTCTGGCAGCAAATCGGATAAGGCTAGGTGCAGCCGAGCTCTAGAACTCGACTCTCAGTGGACATAGATCAGTAATGTTAGGTGCATTTCGAGTGAAAATTTGACTTTGTTTGTGTGTTTTGTTTGTTTAACGTAAAGCCTAGGATTTTTGAGAGTTTTCCCAGTGTACTGGATTTTGTGACATAGTAACAGTTCTACCTTCAGCTTGCTTTTCTTGAAAGATCTAGAGTGAGTAGATTTTGTAAACTTTAATTTATATTTTGTAAGGTGAATCGTGTGTTTCAATTGGAGAGATGTTTAAGCATTTTGATTTACTTTAACGTTGAGATAACAGTGGAACTTTTGTTTATATATGTACTTAGTTTTGATTTAAACGTAATTTTAGTAGTTTTTACTTTAAATCTTAAGTTGGCGTTCCTCTTATTATAAGTTCAGGATTTATCTTAACTTAGAGGAATGACACATTGAAGTGAATCCCTTTCTTTGTGGTATTGTATGGTAACTGAACTATGGTTTTATCAAGAAACATTTTTTTGTTTATGAACTTGGAAACTAGTGGTGTCTGTATTGTTCTCAACAACACGGAAGTATGATCAGGAGAGCATTTTTCTCCATATTCTGGTATTCTTCGAACCTCTAGTTAGCAGGCCTAACTGACTGCTCTTAGAGAAAAATTGTTTTACGAGGAATACCACTTATATGTATATATACAGTGGAAAATTTTGCCATAACATAGATTGCTGTTTGATTAGGTTTTCAAATTTCAGAAAAAGAGCCTCAAGTTTTCTCTTTCCTACAGAGGGTTGAGTATGTTGTATTAAAACGATTTTGAAAAAGCAAATCACCGAGTCACATGGCAATCCTAGTCAATATAAAGTCTTGGTGGAAAGGAATGTATCAGAACTACATTTTGACATTGTTTGGTATTTCGTATATAGTGTGATGCTACCGAGAATATATCGATTGTAACAGCCTTTTTCAATGCAAGATATTCATACACTCAGATCATAAAGATGTATTCAGATCGAGGATTTAGAATTTCCAAGATGAGGGTGTTGCTTATGCTTAATGCCATTGGAAAACAAAGGAATATGGATCAACTTGGTAACCCAGAATAATCCAGAAAACAATTGCCATACCCCAACAGTGGTAAGCAGCCTGTGGCGTCTTGTAACAGGTAAGAATTCACGAACACAAAGGTCAGAGGAAAAAAACCGTCAACGTGTCCCAGACAACAGTGTGGAACATAATCAATAGGTATCTTTATCTGGAAAAGTGACGTAAGTCACTTGTACACAGGTTGCTTCCACGACAACTCCATTCAACTATCATACCTCGAAGAGATGTAGAATGAAATGGTTATTCATGATATTTCATACGAACTCACACTGGTCAAGTTATTGAATGCAGCAGCTATTGATTTATGTACGATCAGACTGTCGAAATGGTACTGGGAAACGGTCTTCCTCCTATTGTAAATAGTCTAAGGAAAGCAACAGAGAGGAGGGGTGTGCTTTGGACATGACACCCTTATGATGGAGCCTTTTGTATTGCAAACCAAGTTGCAGAGTTATTGTCAAGTTGAACGGTCATCAGATAGAACATCACCAGATGTGGCCACATAGATTGTGATGACATGATGAGTCTCGAAAATCGTTCTAATATAACGTAATCAACCTATATAATATATCTTAACAAGTGACATACGTTCATGATTTTTAGATTTACATAAAAGTATCATTTTTAACATGTACGACGAGTTTTGGGAATTAGGGGATATTTCCAATAATTTTAAGATAGATAAGGAGACTAACTGGTATAGGCTTTAATCCTAGTCTCATTCTCTTGGCATTTTGGCTCTCATTTTCACAGGCAGTTGATAAGATTTGTTCGGCCATAGGTGATGACAGGTGTGGAGCCGATCGTCCCTATATAGAGATCAAAAACACGTTTTACAATACTTAACCTTATTAATACAAAATTAACCTAGGAATAAAGATAAACCCACTTAGCAACAGTAACATACTTTAGGATGAACAATAGCTTGATTTAACAACATCAAGGTACCTTAGAAACAACAGCATATCTCAGCAGTAAGAAGTAACTGCACTATTAGCAACTCCCTTAGCAACAGTAATTTATTTTAGGATGAACAATAGCCTGATTTAACAACATCAAGGTACCTTAGAAATAACAGGATATCTTAGCAACAGTAACCTATTTTAGGATCAAGAGTATACTGTTTTAACAACATCTAGGTACCTCAGCAATAACAGTATATCTTAGCATTAAGAAATAACTCCACCATTACAACATAATCTAGGAAGAGAAAAAAAAAATCCTTTAGCAACAACAACAACCTGCATGGTAACATAGTACAACAGCTTAACTTAGCAGCATCAGAGTGCCATAGTAACAACCGCATATTTTTTAACTACTAAACAAATAGTAATAAGAATGTATATTTTACTTGCGGAATAATAAAAAAAAAAATGCAAAAGCAAAATTAAACAACCGTCTTAAATCTTAATGGTGGGCCCGGCATGGCCAGGTGGATAAGGCGCTCGACTCGCAATCTGAGGGTCGCGGGTTCGAATCCCCGTCCCACCAAACATGCTCGCCCTTTTAGCCGT